CTCTCCGGGCGACGGGCGCCGCGCGAGCAGAGAGCTGCGTGCGACATCCACGGCAAGGGAGCCCACCTCAGGCGGCTCCAGCTGCGGAGCTCTGGACAGGCCTCCAGGAAGAGAGCCCGGGCCACCCGAAGACATGGACGTGGAGGCGAGAGCCTCCATGAGAGAAGGGCGCAGCGAGGTCCTGCAGTCATAGAGGTCTAGCCTCAGGAGCGAGGGCGGGACGGGCGAGGTGGATCATCCCAAACTCCCGCCCACAGAAAAAGAGGAAAAAGGGGTGGGATATATTCGTCCGGCAGCACGATCGTTGCTCCACGCGTGGTCGGTGGCAACTCATGGGAGCCTCCTCTCCCATCTGGTTGGCTTATGCAGATCGGCGCTATTCGACGCCAAATCAGCGCTAATCGGCGCTAATCGACGCTATGTGTTCATTCCCGCCGGCGTGTTGGACACCATCTTTAAAGTGCTCTCAGGTCCCAGCAGAAAAATAATAAAAAGGAGAACAGAAACAAGTAGTTCTTGTTGCGTTCTAAGGCCTGTGGTTGTCAATCGTCGGGGCCCGCTGCGGACGGGCCGTGGGCGCCCAGGCCTGTTTCGCACTGGTGTCAGACTGGTGCACGAGCGTTTTTTTTTGGTTCACTATGTTCGGTTCCGCGCGCAGGAACCATTTTCAGCCCCCGCGCTATCCATGAATGTTACGGCGAGAACGGGGCAGCGGGAGCGAAGACGGCAGGGAAGGCAAGGAGCAAGGTTCGACAAGGAAACGCACAACACTTCAAAACTATGTTCCACAACGACCGGCCTTAAACGCGAAACAAAGGAACCGCAAACACGCTGGAACAACGCTGCGTGCTTTTGGCGCTCTCATCCTGTCCAGAGCCCAAGACAGCACCAGCATCAGCAAAGCATGTTTTGGAAGATGAATCTATACAAGGATCCAATGATTTGCCACCTGAGGCACGGGCACGTGGACCCCTCGACCTCCTCCCCGGGGCCAGCCCTAAGTTGGGCCTGTCCCCCTACAGGGGGATGTTGGACGAAAAACTAAAAAAAGAGTCAAACCAAAATGCCCCCAAACGGCAAACACACACTCCAAAAAACGTCCCCCGACTATTTTTTACTATTTTTGACAATTCCCCTGGTCGAGGCAGACTATGTTTTAAAACTATGTTTGTAAAGTAATATTCAAACACAAATGCCCCCAAATGGCCAAACACACTCCAAAACTCGTCCCCCGACTCCTTGTTTAAACTATGTTTGAAAATTCCCCCCGGCAGAGGAACAGGCCCGACTTGAGGCCAGCCCTTCCTCCCGAAACCTGCCTCTTTCGCGACCGCGGAGGCCCGAGAGCGGCCTCCCCGGAGCCCCAGCAGCGTGCAGGACCGACCGTCCCACTCCCGCTCGAGTCGCAGGCGCGAGGCGCGAGGAGGCGGCGGGCCGGGGGAGGAGGAGGAGGAGGAGGAGGAGGAGGAGGAGGAGGAGGAGGAGGAGGAGGAGGAAGAGGGGAGGAGGAGGAGGAGGAGGAGGAGGAGGAAGGAGGAGGAGGAGGGGGAGGAGGAGGAGGAGGAGGAGGAAGGAGGAGGAGGACGAAGAGGAAGATGGCAGGGGAGGAGGGTGGGAAAGGCCTGCAACGCCCGCGCGCACGCCCTGCGCACGCTGTGCGCACGGGCCCGCGCCCTCTGGGGGAGGCACGCACGGCCGCGCACACGGCCACGCACACGCCCAGGAGGAGGAGGAGGAGGAGGAGGAGGAGGAGGAGGCATCTCGATGGCTTCTCGGGTCACTCTTTGGGCCGAAAGGGATCGTGGACAAGGAGGCCTGGCGACCCCAGGGCCCGCAGCGTCGGGGGCGACGAAAGGGGGAACCGCCCGGGGGCGGGCATTGTGCACGCATTCGCCCAAGGGCCTCGCCGAAACAACCGGGATCCTCGGCGCCCCTGGATACATGTCTTGCTCTCCCCTGGGCTGTTCGCCCCTGTCTGCGAGCAGTACTTCTGTCCATATCCACTGCAGTATGGAGTTCCGGGCTCCCTTCGCCAGAAACCCGAGGAGCACTGGATATGGATAAATTTGCCCCCTAGAGGCTCGATGTTTACCCATGTCCAGTGCACCTCGGCCTTGTGGCGCCCCGTCCAAAAAAATCGAAGGCGCACTGGATATGGATACAAATCTTGCCCGCACTGTCGTCGCCTCTGACAGCGCCCGCGCACCCCTGACCTTCCAGAGAGCTGTTTTTTTAGCACGAGAGGCCTAAAGACCTAAAAACACTGAGCGAACCAGCCTAAAACCAAGACGTAGAATAGCTTTGGGATAGGTTTTTACGTCGGGTGCTACTCTTTGGCCCTCCTGGAAGTTCAGGGACGTCGCGCGCAAAGGCGCCTGGCGACTCGCGAGCCCGGCGGCGCTGGCTCCGGCAGGCGCTCCGGGGTGGCGCGGCCGCCGCGCGCGCGCGCGAGGCGCCCGCCGCAGCGCCGGCGCGGAGGGAGCGGAGGCGGGGCCGCCCAGAGACGCAGCGCAGGGCTCGACCCAGGCGGTGGTCTCCGCTTGCGTATGGCGCTCGTCTGCCCTGCTCTATTCCTCGCTCCGCTCCTGCTGCTCAGCGCCGAAGTGGGGAATGGAAAAAAAACGCCCCTACCTTTGGGTTCACGAGTGCGTGGTCTGTAAAGCCTCCCAGGGGCTCCCAAAGGCCAGGAAGCCTCCAGGACGCCGGGCGACACGCGCGGCACGCAGGGTTCACCCTGTCAGCCCACAGGAGGCTCAGCGCACAGCGCATCGTAAACCAGGGTAGGGGCGTTTCTTGCGCCCTTGACAAAAGCACCCCTGACCCTTTGGGAGGAGACCTGAGTCAGGAGGGCCAGCAACATTAGGGATAGGGGGTCTTATCTGCCGATGTGTCAGGCCAAACCGCACGGAATTCTTACCCCTACTGCGAAAGACGGGGGCATCAGGGAGGCCGCGTCTTCATCGTGTCGTTAGGGTTAGGGCTTCTGTTGTGATCGAGGATCAGCCGTGAACAGAAGTCGAAGCGAAAACGGTCCATCTCGTGTTATTAGGGCTAGGGGCTCTGTTGTGATCGAGGACTAGCTGTGAGCAGAAGTCGAAGCGAAAGCGGTCCAGGAGGTTGCCGAAACTCAGTTTCGGCCGAGCCCTGATGCAGCGGAGGCTGGGGGGGGGGGGCCCGGGCCCGGCGGCCCCTGCCGGGGAGAGCCCGGCAGCAGATCGCCCGCGGCTTCGGCCTCGGCCCCACACGGGTGCGCCCACGAGGAGGGGGAGCAGCCGTGTCACAAGGTCTGGATGAGCCATCACAGGGGCGCCAGCACAAACCTCTCCTGACATGAGCGGGAAGCGCGTGAAGGGGAAGAGTTGCGCAAGATCTTGCGGCATCATCGTGCTCAAATGTAACATGGGCGAGCTCTCCGAACGCTCATCAAGGATACGTATGGACACGCGCCCCCCGAACGTTTACAAGCGTCTTCCTGGTTATCATAGGGGCGCCAACACGAATCCGCCGCCCCCCGCTTGCCGGGGGTGCACACCGAAGAAGACAGCACGGCAGAGGCACATCAATTTGTGGGCGCTCCGCGCGGAATTCGTGGGTCTGCGCTGGAGACTCCCCTTCCCGGGCGCGCGGAGCGCGCGCTGGCGCCGCCAGGGGGTTCCAGACCTCCGCGCGGAGCGCCAACAAAAATATGTGTATGGCGTTTTTCCTTCTTCGAGAAATCACATGTGAAACATTGAACTATCCCCCTCCCCCTTCCCCCCTCCCCCTGGGGTCCGAAATGCCATTCAAGGGGAGGGGGGGGAGGGCGAGCTCGTCAAGCACCCCCGCGGCCTCCAGAGCCTCCCACAAAGCCCCTAGACAGCCCAGGCAGAGCGCCAAGACAGTCGAAGAGAGCGCCATGACGGCCCAGGGTAGCCCCACGAAGATCCAAGATGGCTTCAAGATGGCACACGAGGCCCCCAAGACAGCCCAAAAGCGCCTCCAGAGGATCGCCCAGAGGGCCCCGAGGCCAAAATCATCCCATTCCCTCGGAGAAAAACGCACATGCTCAGCACATTTGCATCTTACATTTGAGCAGCAAAGACGACGGGCCAAGTGGCCCCCAAGACGGTCACACGACGGCCCATGATGCCTCCAAGAAGGCCTCAAGACGGCCCAAGAGGGCCCAAAAACAGCCACAGGGGCCCCTCAAAAGGGCTCAAGACAGCCACTAGAGTCTGGAGGGCCCCAATAGGGCTCCAAGAATGCCCAAGAGGGGAATACGAATTAATATGTAGACCCTCTCCCACCAAGATGGCCCCTTTAGACCCCCAGAGGCCCCCGAGGGTCCTTCAAGAGGCCCCAACAGACCTCCAAGACGGCCCTAAGAAGCCCCCAGAGGCCCTCACGAAGCTCCCAAAACCCTCCCGTATGCCCACAAGAGTTCTCCAAGAGGCCCCAGAGAGGCATCCCAAGAGACCCGTAGATTCATCCAGGAGGCTCCTGACCCAAGTTGTAACTTCCAGGATCGTCTCAAACACTCGCTCCTTGTGGGGGTCGGCGGAATGGCGTAAGCCACTTGAATAAACATCTTCCAATCCGTTCACTATACGGGGACTGTGTACCTTATCGGCATATCCGCATTGACCTCATCATTCGAGTCGAGTCCAGTGCACGCCCCGATGCGACACAGACTCGCCCCGTGGAGGGGAAGGCGAGCTGCTGGCAGACAAGCGGGCCTGCCTGGAGCACCCGGGTGGGAATACATCAAACTTCGCAGCTTCTGCTCCCGCAGCGCAGGGTGAAACGAGACCCCACTCTTTACCAGCCTCGAACGTATCCCTATCCCTAAGATTGACACGCCAAAAGGCGATGACAATCTTAGGGATTCGCCCTCAACAAATAAGGGAATCCCTAAGATTGGCATCGTGATGAGGCGATGCCCAGCTTAGGGATAGGGATATGTTCCAGGCTGGTAAACTCTACCCCATCGACGAAAGGCTACTCGGTTCATCTGGGCCCCT